CAAACCTGCTTTTCAGTTCTACATTAAATCTTTATTTTCACAGCAGCAGCTATTCTGTTTCTTACTGGTCAGATCTTCCTGGAGTAGGAGAAACTAGTAGGTGTTTTATGCTCACACAGGAGCAGAGATTTTAAATTACTAAAAAAAAAAAAACCAAAAAAACTTAATTTTCAGGAGTGCTTGATGAGGGAACGACCTTATAACAAGACAATTTGAAACATTTGTTGGACTGGATATCAACTTCCAAATATTGGTTATGGTTGGACATATAAATCGATGTAATTACTAGACTATTTACTGGCTGTAGTAGATCCAGAAAGTTTCATAATGAATATTATTTACATAAAGCTGTTCAGTAGTTACTTGAGAGATAAATTTGGATTTTTTTTTCTCATTTTATGTTTGTTTAAAAAGAAATTAAATACAAATTTCAGTCTCTGTACTAGTATCAGTTGGATCAGTGCATCTCTAAATTCACAGAACTTTCCTCGTATGAATATTCAGATCATATTCAGATCACTTGTCTGCGTATTACGGAGGCCTATCCGTCAAACATACACTACACCCCCAGACAGCAATATAGCTACTCTCACGACTCCAACCTTTGAGAGAGAGAAAGTTTAAAGACTCTGAGGTGTTCCCTGCACATGTCTGTCTCTACACCACCAATTCATTATTTAGCGTGGAGGTTAGTGTGGCTGCCTTCAGTGCCGCTCAGAGACGAATGGATGTGAGGGATGGACTTCAAAACTCTGTAAAGGTCTCACTCCTCCTCTGGTCAAAATATTCAGACATACAAACCTGGAGCTGCAGAGGATCTATCAGGGCAAGGTCTGGCTGGAAAGAACAAGGCATCTCCGGGCAAAATGCAAAATGACAGAAAAAAAGGAAAAAAAAACTAACAAAAAAAAAAAGAACATCTCCAACTTACTCATACATAATCTTGGGCTTGTTACATTTGGAACCACTGTGAATAAGCACAAATGGATCATGAGGTTATTTCTTCTATGCTGCCCCTGTTTGTGTTTGTCCATGTGCCATTCAGAGTTTGTCCTCAGAGCATCAGATTTGTCTATTTGCGGAGACTAATGGATGGTACTATTTCTGTTGGTGTCTGTCCACTGATCTGAAGGTTGGCGGTTCAAATCCTGTTTACAACTCAACATTTTTGGTCCAGTGGTTGGTGGTGTGATTCCAGCTCTCACAAATGTTGTCACTGTGTCCTTGGGCAAGACACTTAACCCACCTTGCCCCCAGTGTCTGTGTACATTGGTGTGTGTGTGAATGGGTGAGTGGTTTCTTGATGGTGGAAAAGCTCTATATAAAAATGTGACAATTTACTAACGATATTAAAATAGCAATAGAAGAGCAATTAGGGTAAAAATATGGGTGTATGTAACAAGTTATTTTACATCTGAGATAAATACATTTTAACATTATTCTTTACAAAAGTGAAAAGTTAATTTGGGATCTTTACTGCATACATTTGAGGGGCATGCTATGGATTTCAAAAGCTAAATATGAAGATTTGGTCAAAGCAACAAACAAACAAATATCAGATATCGGCTCAAATAATCCATATTAGACCATCCCAAGATAAACGACTCTTTTCCATATTGTCACCCCTCTCTCTGTAACTGCTGCAGTGAGCCTCATCATTTTCTCTGCACGATCCTGGGTGTTTTATTTCAGTATTTTGTCCGTAAATAAATTCCTATTCGTAATATGGATCTGGCTCCAAATTCTGCCCTATAACCTGTAGCATTGTGAGCTTCTTTTGACTAGAGCCGAACGCTGTGGGTGACCTCATATTCCCTCAGTCCATTTCTTTATACAGTCCATGTACCCACCATAAAACAGATATATTCAAATACCAGCGTGTGCAGAGAAAGACTAGGAATTGGCCGATCTTCTCCCTAAAGGCTCACGATCTAGAGCTGCCTCTGGATACAATCTCAGCGTTGAGGAAGGCACATTTGGAGGCAGAATTCACTGATGCTTTGGTGCACAGCTGGTGATACAAACATGACAGGTATGTAGATGTCTGACAGTGCTAATGTTTAATAAAGCATAGCCATGAATTAATTGGAGTTACACTCAGACCTCCTGCTGAGTTGTCACCAAAGAAAAACAGATCGGGAGATGATTGGCGCCTCCTGTGGCAGCCATGATTACTGTTGCATGTAAGGCCCTTTTAAAATGGACAGCACAGATCAGTGTGAGATTTCCAATGAGAGTTAAACATGCTCTATGAGATGAGAGGTTCACTGTTTTTGAAAGAAATATCCAAACGATCCACAGATGTTGAATTTTATTTTTAATTTGAATTAGGCTCTATCCACAAACTTGCCTATTCTAATCTTTGGTCCTTCAGTTGACAACAATCATGTTTTTTGGGTTGAATAGTGGCACCGCTTTCTGAAGCTTTTGTGAGAAAAGAAATGTCTTTTGTAAACATATGGTCTCATGGTCAATGGTCACGTATTCATATAACACTTTTCTACCTTCAAGGCACCCAAAGCTAGCCTGATTCTTCAGCCGGTTTCCACAAAGTGAAACCGGCAGCAATAGGATGCACTGGCTCGAAGGTAGGCGGGTACATCTTTTTATTTAACCAATTGCTGCTATTTGGTCGTGACGTATGTAATGCACCAAATCCCATAGGAAGAAAGGCAATAATGTCATAAAATTCACCAAACATTCTCTTTGTTCCGGCTTTAAATTCTCGATCTCGGGAATCGTTGCCAACACAGAATGTATGGCTTCGCGGGGGGGTTAAGTGTCTTGCCAAAGGACACGACAGCATTCACACCCGCTAGCCTGTGGGTCAGTGGATCTGACCGCTATATCAGCCATGTTTATGTCTAGAATGGGAACGAACCACCAATGTTCGGATCAGTGGACAAACGCTCTACCAGCTAAGCTACTATCACCCCAACATAAAAGACCAGTTTTTACGTCATGTTTGTAGATGACTTTTCATGACTGGTTTTAACCTCTCAAAAGATATATTTTATTTTTTAGTTGCTATGACATTGGCAACTGTGCTAGATTTTCATCACTCTGAAATCCAAGAATTTGTTGGCAAAAAAGTAAGAAAGCAGAACATCCTTGCAGCAATATCAAGGGCACGAATGAGCGCATTGTGAATATATCTTTATAATAGAGGTTTATGGCTCATCTGATAGAGAAAACTTGAAAATTCCAGGTTCTAGTATGAGCTCCATTATTATTTTTTATTTTTTACAATTTGGAATGCTTGAAGTTTCAAAGACTCTATAGAGCGTCCTGTCCACATGTAACTAACTTCCACTTGGCATGACGATTCGCTTTAAAACCAGCTTCAGTTTTCAGAGCTAAGTTACCTTCCACTTCAAACAATAAACTATAAAATCCACCATTGGCAGTGAACTTAAATTGGTAGTGCTAGTGTTCACCTGCTCCACCATTGTTTGAAATATAAAGGCAGCTCAGTGCCTACCTTTAATTGGTGAAAAACGAGATAGAAGAAAAAGGAGCCAGGGACAGTGATGCTTTTGCACACACAATGAACCCTTTTAACACTGTTCCCCACACTCTCTCCCCGACTACTGCCTGGCCTGTCATATTAAGCTTTGTCAGAATCCAATTAGTGTGTGGAGTGGAAGTAGTTTAAAAAATCCTCACATTTACAGAACTTATTTTTAATTTAAAATAAATCTGTCCCAGGTGCATCAACAACTAATCATTTTCAGAAGAGGTCTTAAACTTTGGGGAGATGCCTTCGTTGTTTTTCTAACACCTTATCTCATTATAACAAACTTACAAAGGCTACAGAAAGTTAACGTTTTAGAAAAGGGACAATAAAATACCACATGTTGGAAATGGACATGTACTGGAGTTATCTGATCTTAATAGGCCTCTAAACCTGTTAAAATAAGGAAATAAGCAATGCATGGGTAGAGAAATGTAACATGTATGTCTACTTAGCAGTATTTGTTCAGATATGCTTGAACTAAGTAATGCAACTATATGCAGTCAAAGGGCAAGTGTATACAAATATGGGAAAAATGGGATATCATCCATGTTCAAAAGTAGTCCTTTTTACCTGGCCAGCCAGAATAACACATTTTGACAAGAGCGCCAGGCAAGTCCTTTTTTCCCTTTATGCTCTTCAGTTGGAAGTAATAAGGAATCAAGTACTTTACTCCTGCCTGTTCTATTCAAAGAGATTAACTCAATAATTTGCCGGCAACAAATATTCATTAAACAAAATATACAATAATATTTGCATTCAAACATTTTAATTCTTCCTTAAAAATATCTTTATTCTAAGGTAGCAACTAACAAGTATTTTAAGTGATTAATCTGTTTTTCTTTAAAGGTGCACCTTGTAACTTTTTGCTTTGCCTGCTTGTTTCTACGGATATGTCATTGCTCTGCCTGGAATGTTCCACAGTGTGACATTCTGACTGCGAGTGTGGTTGCCTCTCCACAGATCTGACCTGTAACTTTTGGTCTAATTTTTTCCATAAACATAGAAAGGTTTAATGCCATACTGTGAAACATTCCAGACAAAGCAATAGCATCTTCATGGCAAAGAGCATTTGATAGAACCTCCACCAGAGAAGTTACACAATGCCCCTTTAAATGAATCAGTTTGTCAATATGTCTCAGTTGAGGCTGAACTAAGGATGCTAGAGGACATGATCTCAATGGAATATACTCCCAGACAAAAAAACACTACAAACAGAAACACACTATCAATGTATGTGTTCTTCTGCCATATAGATATAATTATTAATCATATTATTTACATTTATTTCAATAATTGATTAGTTACTGGCAATTAATCTGATTAGCTGTTTAAAATCCTACCTTGATTGTGACTGCATGCTGTCTTCTCTTCTACCTGCTGTTTTATTGTGTAATACAAGCTACTTTAACAAGTGAATGAAGGCACTGTGGGATCAGTAAAGAATATTAATGATAAAGAAATACAAAGGGAGGCGTAGGCAGTACTCATTTGAAATATTTAAGTGACAAACAAAACACACAGCGATATCATTTTGTTAACAGTAGACTTAAAAAACAAGTTAAAGGTGAGTGTTTGAAAATATAAGAATGAAGGCTCTCTTTGACCTCCACTGTCGAATCCATAATACATCATTCATAACAAAAACTGATGTTGGCAGAGGACTCTTTATCAGTTCATGTTTGAGTCTTTAGATGCCAGAAACAATTCCTTAAAGGTGCATTTGTGTAACTTTTCTGGTGGAGGGTTTGTCAAAAGCTTTTCTGCATGAAGATGTAATTTATTTGTCTGGAATGTTTCACAGTATGGTATTAAACATTTCTATTGTCATGGAGACCAAACCACATCAAGTTACAGGACACAGGGTACCCACTTTTTTTTTCGCTGACAAAATTTAAAAACTTTTTTATGACTTTTTCATGACCTAAACTGAATTTTCCATTACTTTACGGCACCTACATGTATAGAACTGATCAGACTTTTAGGGCTAAATGTGAAATGTTAACTCTTTCCACTCACCTTATGGTTTGGTTAATACCAAACCATAAGGTTTTCAATACCAAAACCATAAGTTTTTCAACATTCAAAATACTGTCAGTGCATTTATTGTCGTCTATTTTAAACAAAAGGCTCATACGTTCGGAAATAATCATAATTGCCTAATGATAACTTAACAGTACGCTGTGGTTGCGTTAAAGAGATACTAAAATCCCATGACTTTTCCAAAACTTTCATTGAATTTACAAAATGCCATGACTTATCAACATTTTTCATTTCTATGACTTTTCCAGGATTTCCATGACCATGGGAACCATGAGGACAGATCTGTGGAGAGGCAAACCCACTCACAGTTAGAATCCCAATTAATTTGCAATTTCTTTTTTTTTTTAGGTATTTTTGAGCTATAAAACCAGCTATAACTTATTATTTTGTAATGTAGAGCTGTTTAATGTCATACTGTGGAATATTCCGGGCAGAGCATTGAGATATCCATAGAAACAAGCAGGTGATGGACCCCCAGCCAAAAAGTTACATCGTGTCCCTTTAAAACTCAGTCATTTTCTTGTGTGTGTCTGCCTTCTTGTGCTCCTTCTGGATGGACTGCTCCTGCGCTTTCTGCTGGGCCAGGACTCTGCGGGCTGCTGTCAGCTTCTCCTCCAGCTGCTTCACTCTGGAGGTATCCCTGAAAACACGACAACAAATGCATTCACAAGTTAGAACCAAACAGAAATTCTCGGTTCGCCTGTGCTTTTCTGGAGCGAGTGGGCCTCTAAACCTGTCACTTTATTTACATTTCCACACACTCCCACTGAACACCCTTACTTGTAAACTCATATGAATAATCGGTTGATGGGAAGTACTTGTGGGCTCAAAGCAAAAGTGACAGTCTTGTGAGCTGTGATAATATTATTCAGTGTGAAGAAGGCTGCAGCAGGAACACAGCGATGCACATTTCCTCCAGGAACTTAAGTCATAAATAAATAATGAGGAATTTAGCTGACCCTGCCTCCACAGAGCGTTTTGGATGTTTGTGTTGTTTAGCAGGTCTACAATTCGAAGGACACTTGAGACTTGAGCACCCTTTTCAATAATATTTAAATAGCTTTCAGGAGTCAGCTGCTGCTAATTAGTATTAAAATGACAAAAAACAGAGGTCAAGCTAAATATTAAGTCTGTTTAATATATTGCGAAACTGCGATATGGGCAGAGATATAGAGCTCTCAGAATAACAAACAATACTGCTACAGAGATTTATCACAAAAACGATAATACTTTTTTATGTCAGTGATACAATAAAAATAAAGCAAGATAACTCCAGTTAACCCTTTTTTAAATCCAGTATACTTAAAAGCATCAGCTAAAACAAATAAATAGCAGGAAAAAAAATATTTCATTCCTCTACAGCTAAAATCTTACTGCATAAAAAATTGCAGAAACCTCCCCACTATTGCAACAAAAATATGCACACAATAAATAGTGAGTCCCAAAATATTTTGTTCCGGCTTTCACATATAGTAATTATCCGGACAGGCCGAGAGGTAGACACTATCTACATGTTGTTGGGAGTGTTTTTACAGATTAAGAAAGGCTGCCCTAGTTGTGAGTCCTAATTTAGTTGTGTAGTTCTGCTCTAGTGGTTTAGCTTCAGTGTGGTCTGTTCACTTCAAACAGCCAGGAGCAGCAGTACACATAATCCAAGCCATCTCTGTGAAAGTTAAACCAAGAGCTCCGCATAAAAAGCACACATATATGCGTATAATGGTCCCCAAGTCACCTGAATAAGCATAAAATGTATTACTTTAAAGTTTAAAAAAATACTTTAGGCTCAGTTGTGACAGTCCTTGTCTTTTTTCTAGTGTAATGCACATTAGTTATAGCAGTAATAGTAGTAGTAATGGTTTGAAGTATCATTATTATAATTTAGAATGGTAGTTAGGTTATATTTATATCATATTATAGTGGGAATAATTCTTGGGGGTCAATATTTCTTGTGGTTACTTTTTCTTTGTAGTGGGGACTGTTTTGTAATTTTTCAGTAATGTGATTATATTTAGGATTAAGAAGGCTTCTTTACAGCAATATTGTACAATATTGTATAACATATTGTACATTTAAAATGGTTTTGGATGATAATCCTACTTTAGGGTTACTGTGTCAGTGCCATTTTCTTAGGTCCTATATTACGCAAAATTGACTCTTGTGAGCTTTAAGTCAGGTTATAATATTCTTACCTCCTCAGAAACCCGTGTTTTGTTTCATTCACACATGTTTGAGTACTCCTGTATTATTAGTCTGACTACATCTCCAAAACTCAGAATGCTCTGTTCCACCTTGTCATGTAGTGGAAGTTTTCAGGTTAACATCTACCTTTTACCTTTAGTTCAGTAGAGCTTGGCAAATCCCCGAGCTAAAACCATCCAAATGATTCTAGTGAAGGTGTATGGAGGATAAAAACACAGTGGAACATTTCTGTATTACCACATGACACCACAAAGTGGAACAAAGTGTTTTCTGTTTGAGAGAGGAACTCAGCCTAAATATGCAGGGTTTGTGTGTTAAACATGTGTGAATGAAACAAAACACAACTCCATGTATATTTATGATGAGTAAACAACATTATAACATACCGTAGGTCAGAAAATTGCGTAATACGGGCCCTTTAAATATGAAAAATGTATACTAGTAGTAGTAGTAGTAATAGATATTAAAAAATAAATAAATAAATAATTAGAGCTTGAAAGGGTACAGACCTTCCTGTTTGCTTGCTGAGGGTTTCACTGATCTTCATGATCTCTCGCTCAGTCTGAGCCACTCTCTGTGAGGCCTGGAACAGTCTCACATTCAGGCTCCTCTTGGTGCTGCTGTTGCCCCGGTAGGCCTCCACTCCGCTCAGTACCGGCTCCTCTACTCCTGCAGGGCTGTGGGCTTTCTTCCCTCCCAGTTTGTGATTGAGGAAGTCAAAGACAGTCTGGCGCCCCCCAGTGTTGGCCCGGGGTTTCCTGCGTTTCTTGGGCATCCCCTTCAGCGTGCCATCTTTAGCTGCTCTGCTCTGTCCTCGTCTCTGCGTCAGTTCCACACACATGTCCAGAGACTTGCCTTTGGGCAGGACCATGGCCATCACAGGTTCCACTCTCCCCTCTAGTGTCTTACCCAAACCTGTGTGCAAAAATTAACAAATACAAAAATAACTCAGGGTTACATTGGTTCTGGTAGCTTACTTATTAAGTATTAAGATGAAATAAGTATTTGAAAAGGCTGCATAATATATCGCAATTGACCCAAAATCGATTTGAGTATGAGCAATTACAAAATAGCAAAGACTATTATGTATGGATTTAAAATGTCCATGTCCAACAACAAAATATATTGTTATTGAAACTTTACCCTTTAAACCTCTACAAACATATTCTGAATTGCATGAAATTCTCAGGTCTCAGATCATATTTCCAATCTTTTTGCAAATAATAAGGCTCCTGGATGCAAGCTGAAACAAACACTTTGAACAGAATAGAACTTTTTCAACAAAAATCATAGACTTCTTTCTAAAATCATGCAGCCCTAGTATTTGTATTAGTGACATTATCTTATTGTCTTTTATGATTAGGGTGTAAAATATGAGTTTGTATCAGTTTGTTTATCAACTTGAGCCAAGCATGTAAATTTTTAAAATAGATGACATATCTGACCAAGATCATTAAGGGTCCTTGAGATAATTTAATAAAGAAAATTACCTTTTCCATATTCATATCCCATTTTGAGCATGAGTTTGGAGCCGATGCCTTTAGTGTGAGCCTCCCAGCCACCAAACTCAGCACTGTTTAGTAACACTGTGGAGTCTGCAGCAGAATCCAGAACTGCCAGAGAAAACAGTGGATTAAAATTCTGTGTACTTGACATGAGTTTAAAATTCAGAGAAGAGGCAAAAAGAGGCAAACCTTTTGCATAAGCTGCATCATCCTCATCTTCATCCTCAGATTCAGAGGTCATGAGGTCATCCTCTCTCATCGGGGGAATAAGACCATCTGCCTCAACCACAGCATCTTTCAGCAGCAGAGAATCAAACTTCACAGTGTAGAAGCCATTATCGATGTCTACAAAGATTAAAAAACAAGATATGTGAAGGTGCTGCTGTTCTCACACAAGGGAATTCAGAAATATATGTGCTGTATTGACAAAGATGGCAAGTATGGATGTAGCAACCAACCATATGTAACCATATGTAACATACAGCAGCCACGTTACATAAGTCAAATCATACACAAAATACATGACTTAAATATTTTTTGGTCTGCTGGTGCATGACTTTATTAACATTGATTTGCCTGATGTGACATACACTGGGACGGTAACTACAACTACACTGTACCTGTGATTTTGGCCGGGTACCAAATGCCATCTTCATGCCGAGCCAAACAAGATGAGCCTTCTTCAAGTTTACTCAGGTTACTCTCCACAAAGTCCCTGAGCTCTGACACCAGAACTACCTGTCCATGGGAAAACCTGAAGAAATAACACAATTTTGGAAAACATGGCTGAAGAAGAAGTTGTTTTGTGTTTTAACAGTTCACTTTTGGAAATGTGTTAGAACAAATAAAAGCTCCCCAAAAAATACACTTTTGTAGCTTGTTATTTTTAGGTCGCATATTGATATAAAAGAATGAGAACTTCGCACATCAATTACTTGAGAGGGAGCAGCCCAAGAACATAGACTTGTTTGCAAATTGTGAAATTTATTAGGACGGTCCTAATAAACCTGACGTTTTGCAAGTAAAATGATGTGCAGGATTTTTCTCTATGTTCCTAGATTGCAGATTGAAAAATTGTCATCAGAGCAACAATGCCACTTAGTGGATCTTATTTGCTATTGCAGAAAATGCATTTAGTATGTGTGAACTGACCTGCAATTGTCTGGGAATCGGCACTTATCATCTAGATAAAATGGGCAGGGCTTCATGGACTTCTGTGTGGGGTAAACATAGAATACTCTGACACAGGGCTCCTCTCCTTCAGGCGGCTCTGCTCCCACAACCATTGCATTGTGATACTCCAGAGTGCCCCAGCTCGTCCTGTATGGAGCTCTTACTTTTGTACCACTCAGATCTTCTTCCTCTTCATCTTCCTCATCATCTTCCTCTTCACCTCCTCCTTCGCTATTATCACCAATATTATTACTACTTGAAGTCTCTCCTACTTCTGAATAAAAAGCAGCAAACTCAGAATCAAAATCCCCATTGGATGTGCTCCCATCAGCTTGTGTCTTTGGTTGTGGTGTATCACTGTCCTCTAAACTGGCCAACAGATTGCTCTTTTTGACCGACACAAGGCTGGATTCTGTGAGCTCTATAAGTTGACTCAAGTCCTCTTTTAGTTTGAGTAGATCAGATTGCTGTGAGGGGTCCAAACCAGCCTGGAGCGCTGCTTCTACCTGCTGCAGCTGTCCAGTGTAGGTGGCAATAGCAGCCTCCAGGGACTCCTCATCCATACTGGACTTTGCAGGTGGACAGGACAGGGGAGGACGTGGTCAAGACATGGGACACCTAGAAAACACGAAAAAGGGGTTTATAAATGTCCAGCTGTGCGCAGTTTTAAATTATGATACTGAACCTTAAGATAAAGTTTGCAGATTATCAATTTATTAATAAAACTGCAGATAATAACAGAGAAGTGTGTCTTGCTAAACGAGCTAGCTCATAGCCATATGTACAAAATGTAGGCTATAAAATACACAGATGAAGCAAAGCAATTTTATAACCTTATTAAAGAGATCCGGATGTGAAATAGAAATATAAGCCACAATATGAATGTGAATAAATTAGATAATAAGATAATCTTTTGCAAAATCCAGAGAGCAAGCAAATCATAACATTAACCGGGTAAAAGAAAAGTCTATGAGCGAGAGTCAAGTTGCTGTAGCTCTGGTTTCAGGATAAAAGTGTTTCTGCTTTCAAAATAAAATAAGAATGAAAGTCCTTATGTTTTGGGTACTTATTTTGGGGGAAATCGAATCAATTAAAGATGTACAATATATTGAAGAAAATATACTAATTTGTTGGAAACTAAGTCAGAGTTATCAACAGATTTTATGTGAGAATTTCAAAATAAGGATTTGTAGTTGTTTTTTCTTGCCAACTTGCTGCCGTACGCATACGTCACACGCATGCGCCGTCGTCCTAGAATTATGACGTTTAGTTTAGCTCCTGCATGAGATCCAGCCACATTTGTAAAGTATTTCATTTATTTTAGACTTTAATGTCTTGTTTCAAATGACTGTGGTGGTGTTATGTACTCTGTGTCCTGTTCCATGCTATGTCGATCTATTGAGTACTTTAAAACCGGAAAAAGTAAGTGTTTTCGGCTTTGTTTATATTAGAGTTTACACATACTTATGTATTGAAATACAAATTGTAGCCTGAGAGCCACTTCTGTCAAGTTGTAAAATGTAAGTTATATTTATAGGTATTGCATGTTATCTGGATTAAAGAAATCTAATTCTGCATTTTGTTAATATCCTTAGCACATAGCGCATTGAACTTGCAATATCCAATCAAATACTCTGCATACTAAAATATATATTTGTATTATATATTCTTATACTTATAGATACTTAGTATGCAGAGTATTTATTTATTTTCTTATATTTTAATATTGATACTAGTCAGAAGAAGTAGTGAATATGATATTGTGGTATATACATCTACCATACATCTACCAAGTACCCTGCTACCTCAGTGTGGCAGCTGACATATATTCTGTTTTGTCTCTCCAGAATTAAGCACTGGCTGCAGAAATGCCTCTAGCCATGTCCCAAATCAATGACCCAAAAATCGCTTTCGCCTACCTGCGTCCTGCCTGTGTGCTACTCACCAAAGAGCCCACTCTGTCCAATGTGGAGACTTTGAGTGCCCAGTTAAAAGAAGTCAATGATGTTTCTTTGCAGCAACTTCAAGACTATATACTTTTCCCATTACGCTTTGTGCTTAAAATCCCTGGACCTAAGAAAGACAACTTGGTGCAAGCTGTGGCTAATGCTATTGGCTATGTTTTGGAGAATACATGTGTGCAAAGCTGGGATACTCTCCATGATCTGTTTTCTGAACTTTGTCTATGTCTGTGCTGCCCAACTGATCCTGGAAAACCTGTAGATGCATCAGAGGAGCTAAAACTGTCCATTCTTAAATGTCTAGATGCCTTGATACATGCAACCTATGGGGATATTGTCATCAAACTCTATGAACCAGTCATGTTACCAGGACTTGGGGCTGCTGTGTCATTGCTCTTAGCTTTAGCAGAAAAGGAGAAAAGTCGAGAAATTCAGGGCACTGCTTTGAAGTTGTTGTTGGTTTTGATACAGCAGTGTGATTGCAGTCAGGAGCACATAGACTGCATAGCACACAGAGGGACTATTGGAAGAATTATGGCTTCATTTTTACCTGGGATCTCCACTGCTGTAGCCAGGATCATCACAGGTGACATACGACAAGGGCACGGAGTTACTGTCAGAGCCATGAAGGTGGGTATAAGATCTGCTTATCTGAATGTATAACTCTATAATGTTCTACCTAAATGTTTGGGCATCACTGGACTAGAGTTGTCACTAGTATCAATTCAGATACGAATTGATACTAAAATTAGTATTAAAACTAGATATTCAAGTGTCGATACTAAAAAGTCACATTCACAGGACAGAAATGAACCTTTCCTAAATAGCTTCAGAATGATCTTGAGCTGTATCAGAACAAGTATAAGACCACATATATTATTATACACATACGTCCATGGAACTAACTGAACGACTGAGGAATTACAGAGGTATGAGGCCACATGGTAATATAAAAGAAAGTGCTATGATTTAATGTGGAAAGTGACATTCTATTGTCTAAAGAAAGAGTGTTTTTATGTGGTATCAGGATCGGTATTGAGTATCAAGCCTTTTCCTTAGTATTGAAATCAAGTTTGAAATTTTAGTACAGTGTTGTGAAAAGTAGCACATACAAGGTTAGCTGATATTAGTATATGCAATTGGCCTATTTCCACCATGTCCTTCCCTCAGGTATGGTGTGGTACAGTTAGCGTGGTGATGGAAGACTCCCAACTCCAGTGTTCTACCCCAGTGGAGACCCCCTCCCCAGAACTGGGTCGCGTTGGTCAGCTGCTGGTGCTCAGGACAGAGGAGTGGGTGAAGAGCACTGCAACCCGACTTTGTGTGCTCCTAAAGAAGATCATCTCCTGCACCTCAGCCCATCGCCACTGGAGGGTCCGCCTGGCCTTGGTGGAGCTGGCAGACCTCCTGTTACAGAGATGTGGACAGTCTCTGGCAGAGTGTGTGGGGTCTCTTCTGGATGCTCTGGTGGGAGCTGTCAGTGATGATGAACCCAGGGTCAGAGAGAGGTGGGCTTGAATTTTTGAGTATTAGTTAAGTTTTTCTTCCTTTATAGGTAACTGTAATAAGTAACCAGTAAAAATAGAAATGGACTATGTACAGTTTTGCTATTTTATGTTCCCATGTGAAATACCATATGGTTTTCTTCAATTTTATTTTCTTCTACACAAAATTAAATATTGCTTATTTAATTTATTGCTTAAGTTATTTTTTCAGACCAAGAGTTTGTTTTCATACCTGACAATTTCGACTGCTCACTAGCAGTCACGTGGCCACTCTGAAGAAGGTATGAAACTTAATGAGTGACTGTCTGACTCTGACTCTGACCGTCAGGTATGAAAACAAACTCTTGGTCTGAAAAAAGAACCCAATAACAAATTATCGGAAATCCAAATGAATGGACTAAATGTTGCTTATGTTTTCCTTTGGGCCTCCTGTTTAGTTGCTACAGCCACTGCATCTGCATGTTGGTGTAATAATCACTTCTAGCACAGAAGTAGACCTTATTTATGAACACTGTCCTCAATACTTCTTTAGATGTGAGGTAGCCCTACAAGAGGTCTCCCAGAGGAACCAACAGATCAGCGGTGATGGAGATGAAAGCAGTAGAAACACCTCAAAGACCTTCACAGACGTCCTATCGGAGAACCTCCACTCTCTGTGCACCTCCCTGCCCCGACTCATGAGGACCTCAGACGACCAGAAGAAGTTGTTTGTCCTCAATGTGTTTCTGGGGTACATCAAACTGCTGGGCCCTTTGGTGTCTGTGGTCCTTGCCTCTGCTACACATCTGGAAAGAGTCTCAAAGGCATTAATGCAGGTAAGGTTAAGTTAAGTTAATTATAAACAAAAGAGTATTATTAGGAAACACTGCTTCAATGCAAAAAGCCATCGTGGAGCCCATTATATAATTTGTTTGCATTACAGAGGGAAGGAATGTCAAAAATTGCCCTTTACCAGTAGTGCAAAACTCTTAAAGAGCTATATTAACCAAAACAATGTTAAAGCTACTGGTTAAAACATTTTCACTCTATACCAATTTAGATAATACATACAAAAAATACATAATCGCTTGAGTGTATATTGTGCAATAATTAATTTACTCTACAATCAGTGATGATCAGCTGCTTCTGTAGCTACTAAAACTTAGACTAACTTCACTTGATTCACAAGGGAAATAATTTGGACAGAGTATCTCACACATCACAATAAATATAATAACAAATAACAAAAATATAAATGGTAATACATCCAAAATAGAGATGAGAGTTGTGTTAAATAAGGCGTAAGTATTGTATATGTACAATAAAAATACAAATAATGAAATATGGTAAATAGGATGCAACAAGGATGCAACAATACCGGTACTTAACATGAAACTGAATCACTAATATACGACCCTCACAATACCACAGACGAGTGACTCAGTACCCGCATGTCACTACTCCTGCACTTTTATCATGTCAGGCTTTCATAAAACGTATTGATATACTGAACTGTTGCATCCCTAACCACAGCTGTTCATTGACTACCTGATGGAAACATGGCCTCCCATCTGTGAAATTGGGCAGGACCTTCATGTACCGGCCATTTTTCTGGCTCCAAACTATTACTCATCATTTTAAAGCTGTGTTGCTATAGATTTTATGGCTTAAGAAAAATGACTGAAGCTGGAGTCATTCCTCTTATGATTGATTTGACAGGTGCTGGAGCTGGATGTGATGGACGTTCGGATTGTGGAGGAGAGGAGCTACACTGACACGGACATTGAGTCTGGCTCTAGTGTTCATGTGCACAGGAAACATTTTATGTACTTTACAGATGATCAAATCTTCTCTGTGCTCATGGAGATCTGCCGCACGTTAGGTAAATAAGTCAGAAAACAGATGTTATGCTCATCAGTGTAGTGGTTGTGACTTAGTAGTTTACCATTTATATTTTATTGCTATTGCAATATATTTTGATCTGTGAGCTGCTGTGTCCAAATAATTTTCCCCTTGTCTAAATTGCAATAACAGCTTAACGGCTTAATTAATGATATATTGATTAATGATATATTTGATATATTTTTTACCATGTTGTAGCTGTGGTTGAGAAGTACGAGTAAAAGCATAGGTATTTTTTTCTTTACAGGGGTCTATGGCAAACTATTTCCAGTAAAAATGTTATACTTAATGTATTTATATACTTTTTTGTAAACTTTTCATTTACAGGTTATTATGGCAACCTCTACCTTCTGACTGATCACTTCCTAGACCTGTACAGGCAGTCCTCTGTGTATCGAAAACAGGCTGCAATGGTTCTGAATGAGATTGTCAGGGGTGCTGCTGGTATCGCCGTGGCAACAGGCAAACAGGGTTTGTCCACTGGACCGTGTGCCGAGGAGGACCTAAGGGCAGTGGTGGAGTCCATCATAGAGGAATACATCAGTGTCAACAACTGGCACCTCATGACAGTTACCGAAGAGACGGATAGAGACAAACAAGACCAAAAGGTGAGTCGGAGCATCGTGTTCAGCTTGCACCCACTGACCCCTGACCACTGACTATTCATTGCCTCTTTTTGGTAAGTTTTAATTGTCTTCTTTAGAAGTATATTGGTCTGTGTTATAATTGTGTATATAAGGCTTTAAAGGAATAAATAGTATTGTTAAAAATATATGATTTGCATTTGATAAAGCTGTGTGCAGGATAAGAGCCATAAAGCCTAACAAATAAATGAATTATTGAAAAGAATGGCCCTCTGACGTACGCCTGTCATGATGATTACTATATTGACTTATTGTTCAATATATGAAAGCTGGAACAATATATTTTTTGAGTCAGTATTTATCATGGGTAATTTTTTTGTGCTAGTGGGAAATTTGTGGTTACTATTGGCTGTATGATTTACTTTGATGATAAATGACTATATTATCGTTTATCCTCTATATTTACGTCAGCAATATTTCGTGCTTCAAAATTTGTTATGGTGACAGGCCTACTCTGAAGTTTGGAGTGGCGTTCATTTCAAATGCAGCTCACTCCTCCCCGGCTGTGAGCCCGGTGTAAAATGCACTATTTGGAGAGCAGAGTCACTGTACGATTCCATGCTCCTGCAGTGAGCTGTCAGGACTGAATTATTAAGCAGACAGGAGGAGAAAGGATCTCTGTGGGCCTGCAGCTCCAGAGCCTCTGACGCTTGGAGATAAACTTCTGTGCTGTAAAATATATGCTCTACATAAATGTGCACACTATACATAGCCTTACTGACCTCGCTTTGGGTATTTTGAAGCCCTACAGACAAAATATAGAAAAAATACAGTTTGTTTTCTTATATTTATGCTATCACTTTTCAACTTTCATATAACATGTAGCTTTCTGTGGCATCTATTTTAACACACTTGGTATGGTTAAAGGTGCAATATGCAGCTTTATGGTGGAGAGTCTGCCACCCGCTTACTTTATTTAGAATGTCCCACAGTATGCCAATACAAGTATCTGTTTCCATGGAGACAAACCTGAAATGCAACCAGGCAAAGTTACAGATCAGATCTGTTGAGAGGTGAGCTCACTTACTGTAGGAATGATTGTTTTTCAATGTGCAGTAAAACACCAGCAGGTGAATAAAAATGTAACATAGATGAGTTCAGTGCCTGGAACTCATGGAAACAAGCTTGTGGCGAACACCCTACCAGAAAAGTTACATACTGCATCTTTAACAGACATACTAATATTACTAATGTTTTATGGTGTTGATAATTACACTAAATAATGAACCTGTATTCTTCTCACATTTTCTTCTGTAGCTGCTCAGTCCATCCAGACTTCTCTCCATCTCCAACACTGAGACAACTTTCACGTCAGGCCCTCTCCATCTGGTCCCATTTGGTGCACCAGCCTCCACCTCACACCTCCATCAGCTCAACAGTAACATCTGGCAGCTGTGTGTCCAGCTCGAGGGCATATCCTGTTTCGCTCAGGCTCTGGGCCAGGGTTTCTGTCCCTTGCTGATGACATCATTATACCCAGTTTTGGAGAAGGCCGGAGAGGAGAGCCTGCTGGTGAGCCAGGCGGCGCTGGGCTGTATGTGGGGCATGTGTACGGCCTGTGGGTACGCCTCACTGAAGGAACTGATCAATGAGAACTCTGACTACCTGCTCAATGACATCTCTCTTAACCTGCAAAGGCTCAGTCAGCACCCACAGGTACTTACCACAACACGACAACACGTTATACATCATGCAATATTATGCATTCTGATTTGTGTTTTACCCAATTAGTCAATGACACATATTACAGTACAGTCTACATTAGTGGAAGCAGGGAACAAACTGGCAAATATTGCAAGTTTTAGACATATTGTTGGTCAGTTCAGTTTAACTAGTAATATGAGCTATTGTCGTGTGGGCTGAATGTTTATTATATTGCAATATTTTTATTATTTTATTATTTATTTTTTGCTTAAAATATTGGTAAAATAAACACATTGCATGTTGTAGTAAACAAATTGTCAAAATTGTAGCAATATTATGATGACAAAAAATCTGTATTAGTACACTGTTCACATCTCTGTCACAAAAAGAACATTTTAGAACCATTAAATTTTAGCATAATTTAGCCTTAGGGTCAGCGATGTAAAACAAATACCATCAAATAGAATGAAGAATGACCTTCACTGTAACTCATTATCTGCTCATTATTCTTGAGTTTTGCCTGAGTACTGTGCTGTTACACCTAGGCTCCACGGGTGCTGGCGGTGATGTTGACTCACTCAGATTGCTCTCTGCTGCCCCTGGTGGGGGACATTGTGCAGGACGTGCTAACAGCTCTGGACCTGAGCTATGACCACACAGCAGCTCTGTTCTGCTCTGTGTTACACGCACTGATGAAGGCACTGGGTAAGATACTGAAGGCATGCTAATGAGAAGAGAAAATATATCAGTTATTATATACTTTTTACCTGGCATGACCCTTCTTACTTTTGTTGTTAGTTGTTCTCAGTTTTTTTAAAGGGCCCATATTTTCTAGTTTATAACATTGTTTCCACATCAAAAACATAATTGGAGTTGTGCTTTGTTTCATTATTACACAAATCCTGCATATTTAGAAGTTTCTCTCTCATAAAGAAAACACGCTGTTCCAACTTGTGATGTCATGTGGTAATATCGGAAGTACTGTGTTTTAAACTCCATACACCTTCACTAGAATAATTTGGATAATTTCATCCCTGGAATTGCCCATCTCTATTGAACTAAAGATTAAAGGTAGCTTTTAACTTGAAAACTACCACTATATGACATACAAGGTGGAACAGAGCATTTTGAACTTTTGGAAATGTAGACAGACTAATAATAAAGGATTACTCAAACATGTGTGAATGAAACAAAACACAACTCCAGGCTTGCTTTTGGTGGGGGAACAACATTCTAACATGGCTTAAAACTCACAATAATCATTTATTTGTAATATAACACTTTTAAGTTACTGAAACTTGTTTATTTTGGCATAGCGAGGTGGTTTCCTTCCAGTCTGTGCACAGCCAGAAAGCAGAGTAAATCCGAGCAAGGAACCATAAACCAAGAAGACTTCAACTTTGGCCAATTCCTGCTGGATTACAGAAAACAAAAGGAGCTGGCTGAGGGCATCGGCATAGAGCACGACATGGAGGACACTGTAGATATTGGTGGGTTAAAAATTCTGTTTATTTCAAGCTTTGAATTGAGTTTTATTATAAATCATTGTGTGTGTGCGTTTGTGTGTGTGGTTGCTTTTCAGATGTCCCACCTCCCCCTGAACCTGAAGATGTGGATGATATTGGTGGTCCCGATGTGAAAAAAGAACTTCCTAATCATCTTCAGATCACTAAAGATGTTATGGAGCGGTGCATTCACCTAATGTCTGACCCAAACCTAAGATTACGACTAAAGGTGCAATATTTCACATTTTGTGTACTGTAAAATGTATTTCTATTAGTTGCTGCTTGCGCAATAGTTTACAGATAATCTGTCCTATGTCTTTCGTGAGCTAAAATTGCACAGAAGGGTTAAAGGTGCATTGGGTAACATTTCTAGTGAAAAGTCTGCCAACTGCTTATCTCCTTGGAAATGTTATTGCTTTGTCTAGAATGTTCCGCAGTACAGATTAAACCGATCTATCAGGAGAGAGACAAGTGAGACAAGCAAGCTACAGCATTACGCTACATTATAGTTCAGATCTGTGGAGAGTCACCCCTATTCACAAAAGGAATTACTGTATTTTTGAGCAATAGAAATACCCGTAATGAATAAATGCAAGATGGATATGTCTAATGTCAAACCATGCAGCATTCTAGGCAAAGCAATAATATCTCCATGGAGACAAGCAGGTAGCTGATCCTCCACCAGGAAAGTCGTGTAGTGCGCTTTTAACACTAATATTGCTTTGTGTTCTTTTTATTTATTTATTTTTTAATTTTATTTATGTTTCCAGGTGTTGGATGTGCTAGAGTTGTGTATATCTGTTCTGAGTGAAATGGAGAATGAGCTGCTTCCTATGGCCCATCGCTGTTGGCCTGCTCTGCTTCAAAGACTGACCGCTGACGACCCACTAGCTGTACTCAGGGCCTTCAGGGTAAGACCCATTTAAGCAGTAACATGTGCAACATTAATCACTGACCTGTAACTTGGTCTAGTTTGGTCTCACAAAGTTACACAATGCACCCTTAAAGTTAAACTATCAGTGGTCTTCAGTATTAAAGTTTATTGTGTTACTTTATGAAGCAATAAATCATACTTCAAAAGCTGTTATTGTTGTTAACCATAGCATTAATCTTTACTATACAATTACTAATAGTATAGTGGATATTAGTTTCCATAATTTGAAGGTATAAATATTACGCATCTTCCAGGTGCTGTGTACTCTGGGGGAGACCTGTGGGGATTTCCTGAGGAGGCGAGTGTCCAAAGAGGTTCTTCCAAAGTTGAGTTCATCTCTGCTCCTCCAGGCCCCGGTCAGTGCCAGGGCTGGACCGGTCTACACCCACACTCTGGCCTTCAAACTGCAGCTGGCTGTTCTAGAGGGACTGGGCTCTCTGTGTCAAAGACTGGATCTGGGTAAGACTCACATCACATCCTCTGTATTATTTTGTGTTTATTTTCAGCAAATATTTCCACCAAAAAAAGAATGGGATTGTTCAAGTAATATTTAATAATTATTTAAGGTTGTGTTAGAGGTTTATGTTGTAAAATCGCCCAGGTGACTTTTGTGTTAAAGGTGCATTGTGTATCTTTTCTGGCGGAGGGTCTGTTAAATGTTTTTCTCCATGGAAATGTTATTGTTTTGTCTGGAATGTTTCACAGTATAGCATTAAACCTTTTTATCTTCATGGAGACCAAAGCTGACCAAGTTAAAGGTTAGATTTGTGGAGAGGCAAACCCACTCCCAGTCAGAATGCATGTTTTTATAGGTATTTTTGAGCTATAAAACCACCTGTAAATTAATAAATGCTGTTTAATATCATACTGTGGCACATTCCAGGGAGAGCAATGACATATCCATAGAAACAAACACATGACGAACCCCAAACCAAAAAGTTACACTGTGCCCCTTTTAAGATTCAGTGGTAGTAATGCCAAAAGAACTGGATAAAACACTACTTTGTTTTGTGCAAGGTAATAATTAGGATCTTATAGATGTAAAATGTAACTTTATTTCCTGTTCAATGTACAACGCATTTTTGATTTTAGCAAAACATCAATGCATATGTCTACCACAAGAGGGCAGACTTGTATAATTGAGGATTGAATGATGACTACACCATCCAAGTAGACAGTTATTGAAAATATATGATGCTTCTTATCACAGTAGATGTATGAGAAATTAAGTCTTCAAAAAGTATCCTAATGGAAAAATGGAAATAGTAGAATATATTCTTGGGCACTGTGTTTTTATTACCAGATTTTACCAGATTTGCATACACGTAGATTTCATTTAAGAATGTCTGTGGTTGTGTGCCGTGTTGCATATAACAGCATAACAGCAAGAAAAAAGATCAGCATTCATTTGTTGTTACCTTAGTAGAACCTAAAAAAGCACCCATTTGTGCCCTTTCATAGTCGTTCTATTAAAAACCCATTACAGTCTCGTGCTGTGTGTAAATTGCACTTGACCAAATGGTTTGAAATTGCCTGGTTGCTGATCGTGACCATGGCATTTCCTCTGTGAACCTTTCCCATTTGGTTTCTCCCTATGAAGAGACTACCCCCCACACGATAGGCAATGACACATTCAGGCCTCATTTCCTTCTCGCTTTGATATTAACTCAATATTTCAAACAAAATCAGTGTGAAGGCCACCATAATACATGTATTTGATCTAAGTATATCTTTTAGATTGATTTTACAAATGCATCTTGCACTTTATGAAACACACTCATCAGCCATAGCTCCTGTGTTGTGGTTATGTCCCACTGTGCTTTGACCTGATGCTCAAAACAGACTAAAAATAGTCTCTGCTACAAGCATCTTTTTGCAGCAATAATCTTCCACTTTTTTTCTTACATTTCAAAATATTTTCTTTGATTGATTTGGTGCGTTAGCCCCAAGTTTGTCAAAGTGACCTGGACTTCAGATAGTTATAATGTATTGTACACAATTTAGGCCTTTGCTTGCAGCAGAGACATTTTTCAGATTGTCCACTGTATTACTGGCACAGCTTATATAAAAATGTGAAATGTGAAAAATTCTGAAATTATTGTAGTTATGACTAGCTATCATTGCTGGTAAGTCTATTTATCTCTCTCTCTCTATCTTTCCCTCTCCCTTTCTATCTCTCTCTTTCTCTATCTCTGTCTATCTATCTCTTGCTCTCTCCATCGCTTCATTCCCAGCATACTTTTTACCATTCCCCTAAGCATCAAACTGTCTCTCCTTTCAAGCCTGATTTTAAAGACAGACATTTCGCTCTACTTTTTCTATAGGTTCCAGCAAATCCAGTTTGCAATTTGGTACATATTTCAAAGCAAAACACTATTATTTAGATACTTGCTTCATTCGTTCTTAGGCTATAGTCTTTTGTGGAATCAAGATGCAACGGAGAGAGATGCTGAGGAAAGGCTAGGCTGCAGAACACTTGGTTGCAAATGAATAAGAAATAACATTGCCAATTTGGAGGTAAATGATTTGCTTGAGTTGGTTTGTGTTGCGGCGGTTCTCTTCGGGGGGATTGGAGGCCGGGTAATTGGCTTGCTGAGGGCGTCCCAAAGGTAAAAGATGGAGCCAAATCGGTATTCACACACAGAGAGGATTCTGCCATGTTTCTGGGCTGCTCTTTCCATCCTTCTCCAACAGCGGTATCGTGTTGCTAAAGCTGAAATAGTGCAGTTTAAGTGAGGCAAAGCAATCCTGCGCGAGTGGCTACAATTCATACCAATTAGGTGTGGGAGAAAAGGAAGGAGATTTAGATGAAAGAGAAACATGAAAAGTATAACCTTATGCATTACAAAATAAGGTAGTTTAACTTTTTCAACTCATTTCAGTACGAGTTATTGTGATTTAGACTTCGCCTTAGACAAACTTTATTGATCCACAAGGACACAGTAGCTCACACATCATATTACATTATAAAAAATAGCAAGAGACAAGCTTCAAATAAGGCATAGTTATGTAAATGTATATGTACAAATAAAAATAAAATACAGAATATAGAAAAGTATTTATGTTTTTTGTGTACCGTGCCATTTCTTCACATTCCAGTTGCAGTATTAGATAGCTCATTTCCACTTTCAAGGCACTCAAAGCTCTTTTTACATCAAGGAACCACTTTCCAATTCACACACACTCATACATCAGTGTATAGAGACACTGGGGGCAAGGTGGGTGAAGTGTCTTGCCCAAGGACACAACGACAACATTCGTCTGCGGGAGCTGAACTCGTACCGCCAACCTGTGGGTCAGTACCTCTAACTGCTCTCCCAATAATGTTCATGTCAAGAGCGGGATTCGAACCGCCAACCTCCATAGCAAAGTACAAACACACTGCATGTATGCGCTGTGCCTGGGAGACAGTCTTCCAGAGCACTCATCTGGGCTCATTAAGACGAGAAGTACGGTAAAAGTCGAGGCAGGATCTATATTTCCCCTTTCATCTGCTCATCTCATACTCTTTCATCTCCGCTGCTCTCCATTTCCAATTTAAGATCTGAACGCCTCCTTTTGCTACCAAGCTGGCTTTGAGTCTTGATTCCAGTGGGTTTATTTTTGGTTTGTTAGAAATGATATTGGGTAGTTTGATGAGTTGCTCAAGTTTATATTTTCTTGGGATATTTTTTTGTACCTGGTTTAAAACTGTGCTGATTTGCCTAATGCAAATAAAATTGGAAGCTTTATGAATGAGGCCTATTAGTTTGTTGATAGGTCCTATGCATGGGCTGTATCTGTAAATGGACATGTTGAGTTTGATGTAGGAAGTGAACACTGGGGTGCTTCCGGCTCCATCAAATAAAAAAATTGTCACTCTCTCTCTGTAAATGCTGCAGTGAGGCTTGTCATTTTAATCTTAACATGTTATTAACCCACTCTACATGATCCTTGTGTTTTTATTTCACGGGTTTGTTCGTAAATAAATTCCTATTCCTAATATGCAATTGGCTCCAAATTCGCTCCCATAACTGCTTGCTTCAGGAGCTTCATTTGACTGGAGCCAAATGCTATGGGTGATGTCACACTCCCTTAGTCCACTTCTTTCATGATCCGTGGTACTATGTCATAGAACATACAGTAGATGAGCATATATGAACATAAGAAAACCTACAATAATATAGAAATATGGTGTTGTAATTTACAGTACAATGCAGCCAAAGGCAACGCCAAAGACATTATACCCATAACTAGGTGTATTCAGGCAAACTGGAGCATGTGCCAGCAGAATAAACATTCTGTTTTGTTTTTCTAGGTGAGGAGGATCTGAATAAAGTGTGTGAGGCGTGTTTGCTGTACCTCAGCTGCAGACAGCCAGCCAGACTCCAGGAAGCCTGTCTGAGGTAAGAGTGTAGCAGGACTGGCTCCTAACTTTAACCCTCTGTAATCTGCAGTGTTGTGTGTGTGTGTGTGTGTGTGTGTGTGTATACTCTATACTATGTGTCCTCCTCTCTGCCTGTTTATCCAAATCACATTTTTGACAGTCACTTCAGGGATCACATGACACATTAAATCAGGATATCACAGAGTGTAGCAGGATGTGGGTGTCAGTGTAGTTGACGGCTGGACAGGTCCCAAGGGTGCGCCCTGCCTCAGTATATACTGGGCTGGGGAGAAGTCCTAAGGGTCTTCACTTCTTCACTTCCTGTTGGCAGTGACTGACACATGGTACTATTACTCTAACAGTCTGTTTTAAAGTACTCACTGTAGAATGCATGTCTCACCAAGGTTAGGATGTACTGGTGTATGGTTTTGCCTGCCATTTAGTATAAGAAGAGAAGCAAGGTTACATGGTTACATATAAACTGATTAACACAATTCTATAATTCCCTTTAAAATCATTATCTACTGTTGAAAATGATTCAAATGGCAAATGTGAATTATAATATAATAATTATAATAATATAAAATTACTTATAGGTTCTACATTATGCAAAATTGTCTCTTGTGAGCTTTAAGCCGTTTTACAATGTTGTTACCTCCTCAAAAACATGGTTTATTAGTCTTTTTTCCAAAGTTCAAAATGCACTGCTCCACTTTGTGATGTCATGAAGCAGTACTTTTCAACTGAACTTTTCTAAATGATTCTAATAAAGCTGTATAGGGTTTAGCAACGCAGTGCAGCACCTCTTTTATTACGTGACATCACAAGGTGGAACAAAGTGTTTTCTGTTTAAATATATAAATATAAAAGCCTAACTATGCAGTGTTTGTGTGTTAAACATGTGTGACTGAAACAAAACACAACTCCAGGTATGTGATGTGGAAACAACATTATACCATAAATAAGAAAATAGTGTAATATGTGCCCTTTAATTGTGACACAAGATATACTCCACACACCACGCTCAATGCTCACTGTAAACAATTGCGTTAATGTAAAAAAAAAAAATGTTTTAGGTCCTTCCTTAGCTCATTCGTTTTACCTTCACAACTGTCACACTTGTGTTTTAATTATGCTGCCTTTATTGGTTATTTATTCAGCTCCTCGTCATTATTGTAGTACATCAGTTTAATTAAAATCTCCATCCTCCCAGACGCTGCAGTGAGTTTCAGTGGAGGGTTGGAGCAGACAGGACTGTAGGCTCATTAAGAACACAGGTCTGTCTCATACTCACTGATCAAATACAAGAGTTGGCTTGAGCAGAGAAAAGCCAGACAAAGACTTGTTGTTTTAATTATAATGATGTGTTTACATTATTTTTGACTCTCCAAAGTCATCGATAAACAAAATGACCTCTTGCACTAGACTACATTATTGTTTAAAGGTCATATTATGCAAAATTGATCCTTGAAAACACAACTCCAGGTACGTTTCTGATGAGGAAACATTATATAGCATAGATCAGAAAATATTGCAGTATGGGGCCTTTAAATCATTCACTGTCTCTTTTCTATTTCCAGTGTATTTCGACATTTAATCCAAGTGGATCCCGACACATTCTGGTTTGTCCTCAATGAACTTCACTGTCCGTCAGACTTCACCCCTCCTCACCCGGACCTCCAGCCTGTGCACCTCTCTGGCATGGGACGACCCAGGGATGAATACACGGACAACGTAATGAAACTGCTCACAGAGGAGTTTCAATCGCAGACAATAACAATGCCAAGCTCGTGATAAAGTCTGCGCTGCCGTCTGCACTTGTTGGACTGAAAATCTGGAAATCTTGTTAGAATCAAAAAACATCTTCTGAACTTGCTTGTTGTTATTCTATAAAACACAGTATATTGTATTTAGTATTGTTTTTTTTTAAGATTAAATGTGAAGCCTTTTACTAAGTTGTATTTTTTATATTTTTGTTAAATCCTTCAGGGGAACTTTTTTATACAACTTGAGTTTTAAAGGTCCTATTTTACACAAAATTTGCTCTTTGAGCTTTTAGTCATGCTATAATGTTGTTTCCTCATCAATAACATCACCAAAGTTGTGTTTTGTTTTATTCACATGTTTGAGTAATCCTTTATAATTAATCTGGCTATGTCTCTAAAGCTCAGAATGCTCTGTTCCACCTTATGATGTCATGAAGCGGTTGGCTAACAGCTACCTTTTATCTTTAGGTCAGTAGAGATTTGTAATTTCAGGTCTTAAATTATACAAATGATTCTACAGAAGATGTATGGAGGGATATTTTCTGTTTGAAGGAAGAACTCAGCCCAAGTAGGAAGGTTTTATGTGTGAATGAAACAAAACACAACTCTGGGTATGGTTTTGTCAAGGAAACAACATTATAACATAGATTAGAAAATAACTTACCGGTAATATGGGCCCTTAATTTTCAATGCCAGGCACCAACTGTGACTTTTTTCACCATAGCAAATACATGGTACAGAATGTTCTTATCATCTTGGGGATCAGGGCTAAAACTTTGTAAAATATTAAAATTAGCAAAACATAGATGTTTTTCCCACTTTCTAAAACAGGGGTCATCAAACTAAGGCTTGCCGGCCAACTCCAGCCCCTCCGCCCCCCACCACTTGAACTGGCCCATGACACAATCCTCAAAAGTTGTTATGACCTATTTTTTTTTTAAATTACTTTTTGGCAAATAATAACACATCTTCATCTTGTATTTTGTAGATTTTTTCAATTAAAAATTATATTTATTTGAAGTATTTATAATATTTAAATTATTATATGACGTATTAAATTTGCCACCAAATTTTCATCACCTGACAAGCTCGAGATCAAACAGTGCCAGTCAATGCACACACAGTAGACTGTAGTGCAATTAAGGACAGCTAAAATGGTGAGTGTTAAAGAGTGCTGAGTTTTCAAAGAACAGTGGATGACTGATTACTTTTTTGTTCAGTGTAAGGACCGTACAGTTTGTCTGATATGTAAAGAAAGTGTGGCGGTTTTCAAAGAATATAATGCATCATCAGGGTCATACAATTCTGTTATACGGCCGACCCGACCCTGGCCCCCATCACAGTCAGGAGCGATAATGTGGCCCCCAGAGAAAAAAGTTTGGTGACCCCTGTTCTAAAAGATCAACAAGCCCTATCTGATATTTGGTAAACTCTAAAGTCACCAGATTTTCAAATTCAAAACGTGGACACTCCCATTGTCCATTCTCGACACAGTTCTGGGTCAGTCATAATTTGTATTTTATAGTCTGGTTATTTTTACGGTTTTCTGTATTTTAGCTAAACAAATGACAATATATGCCCCTCTGTACTGGTGACAGGGTATCAGTTTGTCAAACATAAAGACACGTGGGGCAAATCACTGGTTTTGGATAAATCAGCTGCGACAGGTGACACAGGGCTCCAAACTGGGACTGCCCCGGGAAAATTTGGTCACCCTACTAACACCCATCCACTTTATGTACTGGATTTCTCTTTTTAATAGATTTCTCCCTGGTGACAGAAATTGCCTAACCTCCCTTTAAGTGCAGGAAACAGGAAGTGTGTGTGTTATCAGGCCGTGATAGGAGCAGCTGCCTCCACCTCATTGCTCCATAATGAATGTGTGGGCGCATGGGCAACGTGTTAGCGGTTAGCGGCCGGGCTAGCTCACACCGCACACTGCCTCTTTATCTCATAGCGCCATGTTTCTATTTATCCTGCTGCCAGCCCTGACAATGGCACCATTAGTCATCTGCAACAACAGGAGGCTTTGGCAGGACCTATTACAAACAGCCAGCGGCCTAATATGGGCTGTGCTTAATGCATACAGACAAGACATGGACACCCAGGCTCAGAGCAGAGGCTACAGCCACACAAGGACCATACAAGAGCCTAGATAACCCTCAGCTTCCCCGGTCACCTCTCAGAAAGTGCACTCTACTGAAGGCTTCTCTGTCCAGTGTGTCCACACTCTATCTCCAGTTATTAGAAAGTCATGAAAAAGTTTTAATTTCAGAAAGTCAAATCCACTTTTTGAAATGAATAACAAAAATACTGTAACTTTTTTCATAATATTCTAATAATTGGGAGGCAGACTCTACATGCCAAACATTCAGAATGAAAAAGCGACACGGATGATTAAGCAAGTTGCCCTCTAACCAAAAGGTTTATTGATTAAATTCGTGACACCTAGAGCCGGGTGATTAGAATTAACCAAGACTTTTTTGTGCAAAGATCAATCCCAATTTTCCATTCAATTTGATTTCTCCTTTTCAATAACACAATAAAAATTGATTACAGATAGTAGTGGAAGAAGTGCTCAGTTTTGTTACTTAAGTAAAAGTACAGATATCAGGGCAAAACATATGAAATAAAATCTACTTATCACATGAAATGAATCTACTTAAATTATGCAAATGATTCTAGAGAAGATGTATGGAGGGATGTTTTCTGTTTGAGAGAAGAACTCAGCCCAAGTAGGAGGGTTTTTTGTGTGAATGTAACAAAACAAAACTCTGGGTATGGTTTTGTCAAGGAAACAACATTATACTACTACTTAAGTAAAAGTATTAAAGTACTCATTTAAAAATGTACCTAAAGAGTAAAAAGTGGAAGTATTTTGCACGGATTCTGAGATTTAATAAAGCTGAAGAGATTTGTGCTGAATGTTGCTCAGCAGAAACAATAAAATCAATTGTTTTTTTCCTAGTGTTAAAAATAAATTCTCAGCCTTTTCAGTAGGCCTCAAACTATGATAAAAAATACTTTTACTTCAGGCCAGTTCAAAATTGTCATGGAGAAAGTACAGATACCTGCTCTCAAATGTTGTGAAGTAAAACATATTCATTGTAAAATGTACTTAAAAATTATACTTAAGGACAGTACGTCACTATTTTGACTTTGTCGCCTGCTTTCATGTAATACAGAAAATAGTTTGATTTATTCCTCTTAAATCTGAACTCTGCTCTAAACCCCATGCTTTTACTGACAGAAGAGGACTGACTGTAGATGCCTCAATTAAAAAACTAAGTATGACATTGACATTGGACGTGGCTGAATCTCTATCTTGATTAAAATTATATTAATTGCCTATTGTCATCACAAACTTGACAAAAGTTTTCATGGGGACCTTGTTAGTGTGGAACTGAGAAACTACAAGAGCTTTTATATCTATAAATATTCTGGTACAATTATTATGGGCTGCTACTTCCAACTGATATTGTTGAAATGTCAGCTGGTGGTTTTCAGATTCAGGAATGTGATGGTGTCATACTCCCACATGGTGGCAAGAGACAGTATTTCCTATTGCTCGCATTGTACTTTGCCATTAAATACTGTATCTAAAAGGTAAATTTTAACAAATGTTTAACCTGATGAATTCTGTTTGTAACTAGAACCATTAATTTCCTGTATTACAACAAAATCTACATCCATCCATCCATTTTCTTCCACTTATCTGGGGCCAGGTCGTGGGGGCAGCAGTTTAAGCAGGGATTCCCAGACTTCCTCACCCCAGACACTTCCTCCAGCTCCTCTGGGGCGATCCCAAGGCATTCCCAGGCCAGCTCAGAGGCATAGTACCTCCAGTGTGTCCTGGGTCTTTCCTGGAGCCTCCTTCCAGGGGCACATGCCAAGAACACCTCCCCACGGAGGCACCTGTGACAACCCTGCACCTGTATAAAATATTATTGGTCTATAGATATCATCTGAAAACCAACAGTTATTACTATAAACCAGGGATGCATGATCCAGGTTTTTCCATTCCGATTCCTATACCGTTATCAATACTTATATAAATGTTTAATAATAATAGTTTTGCTTAAACATTGAATCCAGAACAAGCTAAATGTAAAATAATTTCAACATTTTAAATAAATAATGTCTCTATAGTCTATCTGTAGCCGGCGGCATACGTATTTGATATGATCTTGTGGGCCAAAATATAGCAGGCCAAATTTGGCACCCGGGCCTGAGTTTGACATGTCTGCTCTAGGCCAAAATCAGTCTTATTACATCCAATTACAGGCCCAGTCACCTTAATAGATATCATGGAACTGACACCAGATCCAGCTCATTTTTCAGTATCAGCACCAGTATTCAATACCAGTGTCGTATCGGTGCGTCTCTATTAACTATGAAAACTGGTAACAGATTGTGAGGACACTTAAGGTTCATTTTGTATACAATATCTTTTTATTTGATAAAGGCATACATTTAGTGTGAGACCAAACATTCTAGAAGAAATTTACACTTCTCTTTCCATGTTAACTTTTTTTTCTTTACAAAACAACACAACTCAAATGTCTTAATAATCAAGATAGAGCAATCCCATAGTCCCTCTTTACCGTGGATGTGCTAGAACAGAAGCATATAGTTAACCTTGAAATATGAATATAGCACAGCAGGATATGGGAGGGCTGGGTGAGTTTGAGGCAATATCAACAGGCATTTCTTTCTCCAGAGCTGCCCCCACCACAAACAACATCGAATTTAGCAGGATCTGATCAGCGGTGAGTGAGTTGGAGTTTCATGGCAGCACAAGGCGCATATTCTTCACTAAGAAGTTTTGGCCCTGCACATATACAGTACTGTAGTAACACTGAGTCCGTACTAAGATACATCAGAGGGAGTCCCCATGGAGCAGCTGTGAGGGTCATTCATCTGTCTGTACAGCACTTTGGGAGAGGGTAAAGCAGACCAGTGAAATACAGCTCCTCTATACTTCACAAAAGAGTATGAGAGAGTCAAGTGTTGTAGTCAAGACCAAATATTAGGTATGAAACTATAATTTGCAGTGGTGGAAGAAGTACTCAGTTTTGTTAAGTAAAAGTGCAGATACTGGAGTAAAAAATACTCAAGTTAACGTAAAAGTATCACATGAAAAATCAAATAAGTAAAGATATTTAAGTATCTGTTTAAAAATTGACTTAAAGAGTAAAAAGTAAATGAATTTTGCACTGATTT